CAATGGCCACTCCAGGATTTGTCTGGACAGCCTCCCTGCTTTCCAAGCTCTTCTTCTGTTCTGAACTTTTGAAGGTTCTCTTGAAAGAGATATATTGGATTCAGAGGTGCTTTTTGCTTGGGGCTTCTCCACCCCCACCTTCTTTCCATGAGCCTGAGATTTCAGAAACCATCTTCTGGAGTGAGGCGTAGGGAGAAAATGAACTGGAGTGATGAAGCTCGGAAGCTGCCATATGCCAAGTAATATCAAGGACCATTAATGTCAGGATCTCTGTTGTGACAACTATCCGTCACTTCTGGTGATAACTTTCACACCGATAATTTGCTAATTTTTCTTGATGGGCTGGAACTGATGGTGGCTTGTTTCACAGTGGAATAACAACTCAGCTAGGTGAAGAAATGGCTGTACCATTAAGAAGTGGGGAGGGAGATGTGTGATTCAGCCATCTTTGACAGGGGCCACAGTTTACCTTACTGTAATTTACTGAGTCTTTGAGCTGTGAATTTCCATGTTAAGTGACCAGAGAGGATTGGTTCACATATTATGTAGCCATAATATGGTTGGTTGGTTGGTTGGTTGGTGTGGGGCTTAGCGTGATGCTTCTCCCTTGGGATGAGTTTTCATATCCTGCTAAACTAGGACTTCATAAAGTGTGGCTTGCTGAGCAAGATAGAGTGGGGATTTTGATTAACCTTTAGGGTGACAGGGTTGAGTGACAGAGAACCAGACTGTTTGAGAAGGTGAGGGCTTCTCTCTCTGAGATCTTAAAGCAAGACTTGATGGCCAATTACCATGGTGCTGTGCTAGAGGATTTTTGGCATTACTAGGGGTCTGGACAACTTTTGAGAGCCTCTTCAATTCTGCAGTTCTCTAAATAATTACACACTGCTTATCCACAGGTTTCATCTGCAAAGAGGGTTTAAAAGTGGAGTAGAAGTACAAATTTGGTTACTGCGCCCACACACTTTGTTGTTGTGCATGATAGTTTTCCAAAGTTTTAAACGTCTATATAGACAGTGTCTCAAAATTCAGGAATCTGAGTCTCTATTTGAGCCAAATACTAATTATTTTTTCCTATCGCAGTTTTTGTCTCTTTAGCACCACCATGTGCCCAAGACCAGTTGTTGGATACTGGAAATAAAATGTGATATAGCACAATAGCAAGCACGACTATTCTACTGAAAAATGTTGTGCTGTGCTGTTAACAACAACAACCTTAACCAAGATACTTGTAAAGAGGAAGAAAATAGAGGTGCGTTCAGCTTTGACAAACAGGCATTCTTTTAATTGCTCATAACACATTTTGGTCAAAGATGAAGGAATGAGAGAATGGCTGAAGGGTTTTGACCTGGGATTTTTTGGGGAGAGGAGAGAGCCAGGCTGGTCCAGCGGTTAAGGCACAGGGCTAGAAACCAGGAGACGGTGAGTTCTAGTCCTGCCTTAGGGGTGAAAGGCAGCTGGGTAACTTTGGGCCAGTCCCTCTCTCAGCCCCTGACGTCAGGCTCGGGCGACAAGCCAGTCGGTCAATTCGTGTCGCAGCCAATGGGTCAACATTCAGCTGAACCGAAAAAAAGCAGACCCTGCACATCGGGAAAAATGCTAGGATGAAAAAAAAATGTGGGGAGGGGGAGCAAAGGAGAGATCAACGGGCAGTTGATTCCCTGGCCACCAATGAAGGCTAGTGATAGGATTTGTGAATGTGCCTATCAAATAGGCATTCAAAACTCAAAGGACCAGATTCGGGACAGATCACCATGGAGAAAATAATAGTAACAATAATAATCATGTATTAAACTCGTATGCCACCCACCTCTCGACAACTCTGGTGGCTCACAACAGTCAAAGACATTACAATAAAATTGATAAAAGATAAAGATAAAAGATGGCGAGCTCAATGAAGCGAGGGGTCTGGCTCTCTCTCGCTGAACGCTGAGGTGGAGAGCCAGGTCTTCACGGCTCTTCTAAACGACAGCGGGATGGGGGGGCATCCGGATCGCAGGGGGGACCTTGTTCCAGGGGGCAGGTGCTGTTGCAGAGAAGGTGTGTTTTCGGGGTCCTGAGAGATGACATTGTTCAGTCAAAGGAAACCAGAGTGCATCAACCCTGCAGGACCTAATCTATCTATGTCAGTGTTGTCCAAACTTGGCCACTTTAAGATGGGCGCTTAAGTCAGGAGATTTGGAGGGGACCCCGAAAGAAAAGATGGGCTTGGAGTATCTCCCTGGAGATAGAGTTTGAACGTCCTTGAAACGAACCTTCCTGAGGCTGTTGTCCTGTGCAGACCTGGGAGGAAAATGTGTGGGGCTTTTCCTTGAAAGGCCCAAGGAGGATGTGGAGAGGGCACCCTGCTGCATTTTCCCAGTTGGTAACATTACTGGTATTTTCTCCAGAGCGCTGCTTGGGTGTTGAAACTGTGGAGGTTGGCAAGCCAGCAATACTTATTCCCAGTAGACCAATTTATGGCAAGGATATGAATTCAGCCATCACACAACAGCCCTCTAGGGTAGGCTCCTACACAGACTGGAGGCTGAGAAGAGTTTGGCCTGGATTCTAGCTTACCGCATGCCTTCTCCCCAACTAATCCAGATTAGCTTCCCAGCTCATTTCAGCCAGTCCATCAAACAAGCCAAGATGTGTCATCTTGCTCACTGAAATAGAAACCAAGAACAGATTTGCCTGGTAAAGGACGGGGGGCGGGGGGGGTTTCAGGAGCAAAGCCAGAGGGGCTCGATGTTCCCAGCTTCGGCAAGTGCCGCCCTGGCAGTGGCTGCTGGGCTCCCGTGTTCTGGCTGCCCTGGGAGGAGGAGGCCAGCTGAGCCCCGCTGGAGAAGCCAGTCAAGCCCCCCGGCTCTGGCTGGCGCTCCCCTTTTCTGCCACTGGATTTCTCCCTTCTTGTCAATGCTGGGCTTGGCGGGTCTTTACAGACGGGAAAGAAAGCAAATGTTTTCTGAAATTCTTGCGTGGCTGGCTGATTTAGAATTTGCAGGATGGGTACCGAAGCAGGAGGACATTAAAGGAGGTGCCAGGTCCGAAGCAAACAGCATCAGGTTTATTGAAATTATCCCCATTAATTACTTACAGCACCAGGGACCCTTCCCTAATTGGCACGATGAGCCCAAGTGGCAGGGACGGTCTCCAGGAATTCGACTCACAGAGGGGTTGCTTTCACTGGGCAGGTTTGATAGCCCTGCAGCCTCACTCTCCTTTCTATCCCCAGAATTTCTTGGTTTAAGCATCAGCAAAGGAAGGTTAGCTATTAATAAGGATTAAGTGTCTGGTAGATATTAGGCACCTGCTAAGACAAAAGACGGAAATAATTACCTGATTGGGGTTAGAACAAAAAGGTGGTTATCTCACAGCTTGCAAGAGTAAATAGGAAGAGCTAGCTTGTCTAAGGAGCCTGTCTGCCGGGTGTTAATTGAAAAATGTGGGTCAATCACAGGACAGCAAGCCAAGTCAGGAAGACTGCCTTTGTTGACGGCAGGGGACGCTTCAGTAGATGGCTGGTCCACATCGCAACCTTTGGATGGAAGCCAGACTCTCCAAAGATTGCATGGGGCTTGTTAAGAATCCACAGTTGTCTACAAATTGCAAACCCCATTCTGAGTCTTGAGTTCTGCTGCAACCTTGCAGAGACAGAATGCAGGGTCTTTGAGAGAACCAGAGCACCGGGCAAGACTCGGCAGTCACCACGTTGATAGCGCTGGGACTGAAGGCCGCGTTTCGGGGCTGGGGAGATCTCCAGTCTTAAAAAACGTAACTCAGAAGAGCAACACAAATGATCAATGCATGGAAATGATCAAAGGAGCAGGGTGCCTTCCCTGGGAGGAAGGGTCCAAAACCTTCAAGTGATTTGTTTTGGATGGAGAAGGCAACTAAGGGGGAGGACTGTGGCATTGGAGTCTGCTGACTAACAGCTCTAGTCAATGTTCCCAAGTCAGAATTAGGTGAGAAACTATCATGGAAAGAAGTTTGGATTCGGAGGTGAGGCCTTCAGATGATACACGAAGTCTTAAGTAACTCAGGAGTAGCTGTTACAAGGCGAACCATTGTGCAAAAGAGCTTGCACTTTGGATGTACGTAGAAGAACCACTTGTGAAACTGGGCTGTTTCAGGTTTCCTGGACTGGGGCCAACTCTCCGGGCCATTCTTGAAATCGTTCAGCCTGGAGCGTTTGGCACGGCCGTCGACCTGGGCAGTTTATATGTACCTTCTCCTCATACTAAATCTATACTGTACCTAGAAGCAGAGGCCCAATGTCCAGTGGTGTCCACAGGATCCAGCACATTCATCAGAACAACAAAAACAGCATTGGACTTCATGCGTGCAATGTCATGATGCATGTACAAAAGGGTGGAGCTGGTGTCACCTGGAAGCAATGCTGTTTCATTATTTTCATTGTTTTTTATTATTTGGTAGACACCATTGCTGCTGCTAATGTCCCTGAGTTGTTGGAGAGCACGTGCAAGGGGGTGTCTTGCTTGTAGACTTCCCAGAGCCACCTGATTGGCATTCATGATGAACTTTTGGCTCAATCCAGCTCCTGAGTTATGGCAAGCATAACCCATCATGGCTTTGCTGTCTCTGCAGTAGAGGGTTCGGCTGCTTTAATTATCTCTCCCAAGGGCACCTTGGGGACAGCGCCGTGGAGATTAAGGACCTGGTGGCCCAGAAAAAACTCTAGCATCCCTGTTAAACTACAATTCCCAGAATTCTGTGGGAGGTATCATGGCATTTAAATCTGATTATACTGCATGTATCTCTCATGGTACTACCTTACTGCCAAAACTCATGCCAGAGTAAGCTTTTCGTTGTAAGAAATCTGGACTGTAGACATCAAGAGAGATGTTTTAGTCAGACTTTTCGTGCAGCCGTCGTTTTATGATTTAGTGGAATATTCCAGCAGTTATTTTAGAAAATTCCTAGGGCCTCTTCCAAATATCTCCCGGGGTTCCAGAGTTTGCTCTTGTGATCTCTGATTGTTCTACGTTCCTTACTAGGCTTGGCTGACAGAAATCCATGAATATGCAAAGCAAGACGTGGTCCTGATGCTGCTGGGAAACAAGGTGAGCTGCCTGACACTGGGCTGGATCGGACGTGCCACTGCCACGGAAGCTGTTGATGGGGGAAAGAGGGCAGTGGAAGCTGGGGGTGCCTTTGCGTAGCACAAAACACCACCTCAAAACACTCATCCACCCCCCGCCTCAAAGCCCTCCTCTGCTGTGGGGCGGCTGGCTTGGCACTGGTCGGTCCATCCAAGCCGGAGACCTGGCTGGTTATGGGACCAGTGCTGGGCCGGCAGTCCCAGAATGCATTGCTGATGCTTTCTTCTCGTGCTTAGGTGGATTCAACCCAGGACCGAGTGGTGAAAAGAGAAGATGGGGAGAATTTAGCAAAGGTACATTGGATGCACTCTTTATTAAAATTAATGGCAATTCTGCTCTAGGAGAGGTTATAAAATTTGCATCTGCTCCCATAGCTAATAGAGCATAAATTCTTCTGCTTCAGCTTGTTATGGAGAATTACAGGGAAGGGTGCCAAGCAAAATTATCCACTATATTATGCAGATGTGTCCAGCCAAAAGGGATTAAAACTTTAAAAGAAATGCAAGATTGATGGATAATTAATGTTGTGCTTGTTCTGCATTTGCAGGGAATCGCAGGCTACATTCAGTCTTGCTTCTAACCCAAAGTAGGACTTGGAATATTCCCAGTATCCACACAAGCACCACACAGCGAGTTAACCTGCATATCTGTCCTGATTTGTTAATCTTCTTTATTAACTTTTTTTTGGGGGGGGGCTGCCTTTGAATCTGTGTCGACTCCTGGTGACTGCCTGGACAAGTCCCTGCAGTTTTCTTGGCAAGGTTTCAGAAGTGGTTTGCCATTGCCTGCTTCCTAGGGCTGGGAGAGAGTGACTGGCCGAAGGTCAACAGCCTAAGACAGGACTAGAACTTCGTGCCTAAGACAGGACTAGAACTCACGGCCTCCTGGTTTCTAGCCTGGTGCCTTAATCACTGCACCAGACTGGCTCTTTACTGACCACAGGTCGCTTATATGTGTATTCTTTAGGTCAGCATGAGAGTTTAGCCACTATTTTTTTTTATGTTAAATTATATACGTTTTAAACATTTAATTTTTAAGGGGGGTGTGACACTAATCACATGTAAATTCATGTGCATATCCCATGCCAAGTAATGCTGTTCAATTGGACAGCCAAAGGATTCACAGAGCATCTCCCCTGGATTAGCAAGTTGGGTTTTGTTTGGCAGGTAAGTTGAGTAGATTTTGCCCACAAAATACTAGAGTTGGAAGAGGCTCTCCTCCCAAACTCTGTACCTTGTGAAATAGATAGGAAGGAATATTGTACTAGTGCCCTTTTTTCACAGATACATGATCATGACTGAGAGCCAGTTTGGTCTAGTGGTGAAGGCACCAGGCTAGAAACTGGAGGCCGTGAGTTCTAGTTTCGTCTTAGGCACAAAACCAGCTGGGTGACTTCGGGCCGGTCACTGTCTCTCAGCCCTAGGAAGCAGGCAATGGCAAGCCAATGCTGAACAACGTTGCCAAGAAAACTGACTTGAAGGTACATACACAGTATTATCAAACGATTATAATTTGCAGCCAGGCCCTGAACCAAGATTATGGTTTATTTCTGCTTCTTGGAAGTGATTGTACAACAGAGATCCAGATACCTAAAAACCCACTGCAGCTAAGCTGTGGTTTCTCTAATAATGATTCGCTGGATAATCTTTATTATGGAATCCATCAACCCTAAACCATTGTAGACTTCAGGAGGAGTCCGATAGCACTTTTTGAACTTTCAGTTATACCTTTTTAAAAAATCTGTTCATCCAAAAGGGTGTTACCATTTTTTTTCTGATTTTTAACCCCAAAACATGTTATCATAGAATCAAAGAAGCCTACAGCTGAAAGGGTCTAGTTAGATCTAGGATGAAGCGATTGATTACTTCTATTCTGCTAAGGCTGGTGTAGGGTTGACTGCCTCTGCTGCATCCAATGTAGTCGATGAAAACTGCCGCCTTTTAATAAAATGTGTTAGTCTCAAAAGATGCCACCAGACTCTTTCTGATCTAAACAGAAAGTGCATCCTAGGATATATGTTGTATCTTTATAATGCTATGTGATCTGTTCCTAGAATGCTCTTGCTAAATTAAGTTTTAATTGTTCGTAATCAACTGATCTTCTGAGTTAATGAGAGGATATACTCCCCCCCCCCCCGCATTTAAGACCCTTCACTAACAGGAAAAGAATGATGAGAAAACATCTGTATAAGATCAAACCTCATTTGAAGAACTTTTCTCATGGGGGCGGGATGTAGCAAGACTTTAAACTACATGTATTTATCTGCAAAATAAATCTAGAAGAAATTGTGCTTCTTCTGACTAAATTAGCCCAGACAGTCTGTAGCACAGCACAAATGAGTGTCTGTTGTTAGGAGTCAGTTGGATTGACCAAATACTGCCTCGTTGTTAATCCTGTGATGCAACTTGGTCGTGATTATAACTTAAGCCTTTAAATGGCTCTTCATTTGGGTTCTGCCTCCACGGGCTTACTCACACCGACCGCTTTCAGCAGCCAAGGGACAAAATTCAGTTGATTAGGTCCGTTCAAAAAATGAGCGATTTGTTTCGTTAACAGTGTTACGTACGTATATCCAGAAAGAAAATGGCTGGGTTCACTCAATACGCTTGCTAAGGCTAAAATGGGGTTGGGTGGTTTCAAGGAGTTGGAATTCAACCTTTGTGCCAACAAAGCCGCCGTGTTTATAACCCAGCAGTTGTGTCTGGTTGGTCTGAGTTTAGGGTGCTGTGCAACTAGCTGGTCAGCTTGCGCAGTTTCTTTGAACATCTCTGGGCTGCAGTAACGTACAAAATGTACTTCCGCGCCAGGGACATTTGGGGGCAGCCTGTTTAGGATAAGATGCGTGCAGATGGGCAGCTCTGACACGGAAGCGCTGAATCTGCGTGTGACTGCCCATGTCCAGCTTGATAACCTGGTGCAGCGCTGATACAAGCTGCTGAAAAAAGAGAAGGGAAGAAGAAGATAGGAGCACCAAATACCTTATTTCTTTGGTGCAGGAATACGGGGTGCCCTTCATGGAGACCAGCGCCAAGAACGGCTTGAATGTGGACTTAGCCTTCATGGCCATTGCCAAGTAAGTTCCTTTATTTCAGTCTTCCCATCAAAAGTGGAGAGCCAACATGCAGCTCCCAAGGACGTCGTTTGCTGATCCTGACATTCTCTAGGTTGATACCATGGACATTTGGCAGAAAATTACCCTAAGGAGGTGGAAGGGGGGGGTCTCTTGGTTTGCTGAGAAACACCCAGAGATGAAGAGATACCTGGAGCGATGCAGGCATCTGACTGGATGGGGGTAGCAGCAGCATAGTGGGATGGGTTTGCCACTGGTATTGCATCTGTGGAGTGCCATCCGGCAGCCCTTTTTAAAGAACCACCCCCAGGGTGACTGGCAGAATGGGAGTGATGTCTTAGATGCATCACCCGTTGACCCGGAGGAAGTGGGCCAAATCCTCAGTGAGATGAGCTCGCCCCCCGTGGGGTAGATCCCTGCCCACTTGGGTTGTTCGTGCCACCAGGGAAGGATCTGGGGTTGGGTCAAAGCTATGGCAAATGCCTCGTTGCAGGAGGGAGAGATGCCAGTGCCCTTGAAAATGGCGTTGGTGCACACACGTCTCTTAAGAGGGCAGCCTCAGTCACAGCTACACTGGACAGCTGTTGCCCAGTCACCCACCTTCCCTTTTTAGGGAGAGAAGGTGGTGGGGTGGGAGTTACAAAAGGCTCTGGAAGAAGCAGATCATCTAGACCAGAGTTTCTCAACCTTGGTGACTTCAGCTCCCCAAATTCCCAGCCAGGATGTGTGGACTTCAACTCCCAGAACTGCCCAGGCAGCATGCTGGCTGGGGAATTCTGGGAGTTGAAGTCCACACATCTTAACGCTGCCAAGGTTGAAAAACACTGATCTAGACCTTTTCCATCAGGGTTCCAGCCTGGCATAGGACAGTTTCTGCCCCTCAAGAGGTGTTACAGGAAGGGGCTTGGAGGCAAGCATTCTCTGCAGGAGCTTGTGGAACCATTTATTTCCAGAAATGAGACCTGTGCCTTCCCTTTAGGTATTTGGGAGGCTGGTTAAGAACCGTTCTTAACCATTTAAGCATTTAGGGTTTGAAGAGTAGAAGATGCATCTAGGAGGGTTGGCGTTGGTTATTATGGACCGTCACAATATGATTTTATTGGACAGGGTAGATTTATATCTATTACTGTACTTGATTATACTTCTGCTCTGCACACCACTTACATTTGCTTGGCTGAAGCACTTGTAATAAGTAAATAAGTAAGAATAAAATCAGTGCAGTTTTCCAATAGACTGGTTAATGCATGGTTAACCCTCCCCCCAAAACCCCCTAAAATGGAAAGCATGAGCCCAAATAACCTGACTTCATATTTTAAGAATAATATTCTCGTTTATGCAAAGCAAGGCAGCCTGGTGTGCCTGGGAGGGAGGGCTGACTTCCCCGAAGGAGAAGGAAAGGTGTTCAAACCTTGTGCTCGATTTGCAGGGAGCTGAAGCACAGATCGATGAAGCTGCCCAGCGAGCCCCGGTTCAGACTCCACGACTACGTCAAGAAGGAGGTGAAAGGCGCTGGGTGCTGCCGGTCATAAACTCTCTGGGGCCCCGTCCAGGCTGCGCCTCTTCCGCGAGACTTGCCGCCAGCAGCCCACCTCGCCTACCGCATCCGTCTGCGACTCTTGTTCTCCTTCCTTGCTGCACAAGCTCTACAAATCTCTTCCTTGTGTCTTGTTGTCTTTGTCCAGGTGAAGCTGGGAAGAATTTGGGGGCTCGGCAGCTTCTTTTCCCAGGGCAGGCAGGGGGCCTTCAAAAAGGAAGCTGGATTAGAAGCAGGCGAAGGACAGACTGAATGTGGGCAGTGTTCTGGGGAGGGGGACCGAGGAGCTTGCTCAGTCCCAGCGTGGGTGTCCTGCATGAGTGCTCCTAAAGTGAGCGGGGCCACGTGAGCGCAGGGAGTGCTGCTGTTCCCGGGGTGCTCCCCTGAGACCTCGCCTGGAGGGTCGGGCGCCTCGTCCCTTGCACATTCCCATGGACTGACTTGCTGGCAGCAACTGTTCGTGTGGGACTTCAGCTCCACTTCCATCCTTGTTGCCTCAGTGAGTACCCGAATATGGGTACTTCTGCTTTTCTTTATTTTTTTTTAAGATCAATGTTTCATGTGTGCTTTTGCTGACAGGTTTTAAAGCACATTTTTCCAAGCGCCCAAACTAGGAGGAACAATAGATGATGACTATTCTTGGCTGTAGTTTGTTAGCCATCCTGCCCACAGGGCAGAATAAACTATTCCATCTGTTCTATCTTGGGGGGGGTGTTGTAGCTCTGGCAGTTCTCCTAGTTCATCCCTGCGCACTGGGGTGTGCCTTTTTTGTAGACGTGCAACACAAGAAAGCAGCTTTGTATGTTTGAAATAGGTTTGTCTCCTGGTCCTTCATTCATTTCCGTGATACATCTCTAGTGGCTGATCCTGAATGCGGTGGGTCTCTCTCCAGCAAGTCTGTCCTGCAGAAAAATTGTAGCTTTTTTCATGCAAGATGGCACTGTGGTTGGACATTGCGCACCCATGTGACAGAAGGCCCAGATTGCACGTGGGGGGAAAGCCTCTCCAGGTAATGGCTGGCAGAGTAGGAAGCAGCCCAGCAGGCTTAATTCTTGGGCCAGGCTGAAGGGATGGAGACATAGCAGTCGTCCATCAATAGGCAGAGGGTAGAGGCCCGCTGGGACTACAGAAGTTACTTTTCTCCCCCCACCCCAACTGAGGGGATGCTGTCCAGCTGTGGGACAGGCTCTGCTCCCTCGTGTAGCCATCTTAACTGCAGCTTTTTTACTTGGTCCTGTGACTGGCAAGCAAGTGGCTCCATCAGCCTTCCCCAATGTTGCCCTCCAGATGTGCGGGACGGTCAACTCTTACAATCCCATTAGCGCAGCCATGGTGGGAGTCCAACACATCTGGAGCACCTACTGGGGGAAGACTGGTGCAGAGCTCTTTCAGGGGAGCTTCTGGCTTGATCTCGCAAGTACGGGCCAATCCAGGCAAGTCAGCAGCCCAGCCTTAGTAGAAGACGACAAGCGCACCTGATCATCCTGTTTGCTTCAGGGTAATTGATGACGTGCGTTAGGTGCTTTGTGATATATATGCTAAGCTGCCATTGGGCTTTCCTCGTTCAGTGTCGTTTTCCTTGTGCCCGGCAGATGTCTTTTAAGTTAAGATCCCTTTACATGGCCCTAAATTGGATGCTTGTCACCATTCTCCAATGAAACTCTTTTCCAAGGAAGAAATCTTCCATCAAAGCCAGCTTGCACGTTGCGTGCAGTGCAGACCTGCGTGAATCAGGCGTCTTGACCTCAAAGACCATGTGCCAAACCCCTGCATTTGTGGCTTGGCTTCGGCAGCCTCCATTTGGCAAGCGCATGCACTCGAGGGCTGCCTTGGCAGGGATCTGGTCACCTAGCTTGAGAGGCTGGTCCGGTCCCTAAGCACCTTGAAAGTGTTATTTATGTACCAAGGTAACTGTTGGCTCTGTTTATAGCTTTTTTTGGGTTTCTCTTAATAAAAGATTTTTTTAACGATGCTTGCTTCTCAAGGTCTGAAGCAGACCTCCTTCCTAAAACGGTCTGTGTTTCTTTCTTCGCCAATTCTACCCCAAAATTTAAGTAAATGTAATGAGTTTTTCATTCTGCCAGATTAAAACCCCAAAGATCCTCTTCACACTAGAGTTAGAGTGCAAGGGTTGATTTCTACACTAGTTTGGTTGAAAGAACTGTCCAAAGACGAAACGCCAGGCTGAAAAAATGAAGGGGTGGGGGAGACCCATAGCGTGTTCTGTAGGGACAGGAGGAGGAAATCACTTTGGGCTAAAAACACGGATGACTCTTCCAACCTAACTGGCCAGCACATCATTTAGAGCAGTGTTGTCTAAACTTGGCCACTTTATGATGTAGGGGGTTTTACCACCCACGGGCGGTGGGGGGTTTCTGGGGGTGGAACAACCCCCCCCTTATGGTGCCCACGT